TTTTAATGAAGATGGGAACATTGACAGGGAAATAGATTTGAACGAAGAAGTTTCGTAAAAAGCGCGAACGGTAGTGTGATGTAGAATTACTCATGCTAGAAATTTTCATAAAAGTGACCCGAAAAACGGGGCTAACTCGGTAACCCGTGGCCCGATTTTAACGAAACTTGTTATATTCTGTTTCTATTCTCATTTCATTACAAATATGGCGGTATTGTGTGCCGTTTTTGCTGTATTTAATTACAGACAAGCAAACAAACAAATAATCTCAGAGTTTTAGTAGTATATAGATACGTACCCTTATAAAAGAAACTTTTATTTTTTAAATATTATTGTCTCCCATTGGGTTAGCAGTAAGTTTACGGACTTCCAGCGATAAGATCCGGGGTTGAATTCCCTATGGTGAACGGTAGTGCAGATAACTTATTAGTTAGCTTTGCGCTAAATAAGTAACAACAATAAGGTTAGTTACAATTTTTTACAAAAACTCTTGAAAAGTCTTTTTTTATAGATTCTTTTATTAATATTTTTTTCAAATACATCATAAGTACTAAAATAAAAATCTGACATAATAATTTCGACTACTGAAACTTAATACTGCAGTTTCATTAAACTATTATATTGACTGTGGGGATATAAAGTTTTTAGTTTAAAACTGTAATATCCCTTCCCTGTAATATAGTTGGAACTATTTAAAAAATCGTAATGGTGTATTTCTATTTATTCATCTTTATTGGTTATAATTTGTTATCTATGCAGGTCTATATGTAAATTTAATAGGCTTGAAGTTTGACCTGCATATTTCAACTTACAGAGAATACGTGTAAATGATGTACTTAGATAAACTACGTTATTCAATTTACAAAAAGAAATGCTACGAAATAATTATCATGATTTAAAGCAGGACGGGTGGGGCAACGTATATTCAAACATTTATTCACAGTCGTAGCCATATTTAACTATAATTACCTAGCTATGCTAAATTATAATGAATAAGCAAAAGTTAAATGGGTAGTAACTGCATAGTTCACAGTGCACTTGTAAAAAAAAATCTTGCAGGAGTAATCTTGAAGGTGGAAGTCTTTCGAAATCTTGTATTTTCTATCTGATTAATCCTCCAAGGTTTCCATTACACGCGTCACTATGAGTTAGGCAGTTGCTGCCTATTTCACATTTGTTTGTTTATCATAAATGCGTTGTCTATACCATCTATACAAGAAAGCACAGATTTAATTGAAGAAAACTCCAAGAACTGCGCTCTTCTTAAGGTCGTATTAGCTTAGATCCTAGCCAATATGGATAGATATTAACCTAGTATCAAGTTAATATGCATTTATCAAAATGAAAGGTATCATACTGGTTTCATTTCTATACACCAATCGAATAAAAACCAACCCCATTCATGTTATATTTATATGAAATTTGCACTAGCTTAAAAGTTCATTATTTATGTAGCATGTATATTCTACCCTTAATATTATTCATTACCCTCATTATTTCCCTTGGTGCAATAAAATAGTTTACTCTGTGTGTGCATATTCTGTATACCATTGTAAATCACTAATATTAAATCGATTTACCTTGAGTGATAGTAGTTATCTGGATATTTAAATGTTTCATATTTAATTACAGATATTCATAATCATAGGTAAATTTTAATAAAGGTTCAACGTATTTTCTAAAACTTTTTGAATGTGGCAATGGAATAGCGATAACGACGTCTAGCCCAATTTTTGACAATTATTTCATATATGCTCCTTTTTGCTCTGAAAGATGTAAGGGTAGGCTGGTAGAGATATTGTTGAGTAATAAATTTGAATCGGGTATGCGCGCGCCCCATGCCCTTTTTAATTTAACCAGCCCTATTTAAAAGACAGTGCCTAAACTTTGTTTTATTATGATTGTCTATTCATTTTTCCTTTCTTGAAAAAACTTTCAAGAGACACCATTTATTGCTATACATTAGGTTTATAAAATCACGTAACAATTATACTGGCAGGAATATTCTTGACGTAAAACATCTAATAGGTCAGTAATCTGTGTAGGGCATCGTGCTTGAAATAACGTTATAAAAACCACTTTGTACCATGTTTAACCAACTTGCACCATGTTTACATGTTTCTGGATTAAAAGAGATCAAAGATCATTTTTAGTACTTAATATCTGGTTTAGAAAATAAACACGAGGAAATCCTCGAGATCCGAGGCACTTGAAATTCTTTTACGCAGGATTAGGGTAATTTTGTGTGCGCCAGCAATACCAAGCGTGGGGCACGCGTATACCCGATTCAATTTAATTCCTCATCACTCAAATTGAAATTATTTTAGATAGGATTAGTGTAAATTAATAAATGAGATCTTGGATGTAGTCAAAAAGGGTTTGACCTCCTGAGTCCAAAACTGTAATTAGATCTCAGATCGGTCAAGAAATTCCGTAGCTATGAGCTAACAGTTTGTACTTGAAAAAGAAACGAACAAACACAGAGCTATTATATGAGCCATTATACGGCGGGTAAGAAAAACAAGTAAAGATAAGGAGATACTTATATTTCAGTATTCAAATATAGAGCTATTATAATAAACTTACATATCAAGTTTCAACAATAATGAGATGTCAATTTATCCTTTTAATGTACTTTACTCTAAACTAACCTTATACAAGACACTTAAATCTTCCTGTCCTGGATAATCCATGTTGTCAGTACTGTTCCAATCTCTGAAGTCGGTTGGATGAATTGCCTGATTCTCCACTTAGTTGGACCATCAAACAACCATCACAGCTTGTAGACAACCCTCTCCTTACAATCTTTCACAGGTGTTAAAGTCTATTCTCATTACTGTTGTTGTTAAATGGTATAAACATCATCTAGCAGAGGTGTATTGTTATCTGGTTGACAATGTTAATAAACCATTACTTTTTAAAGTAAAGAGAGAATCCAACATTATTTCTTTTCAGTTACAGTTAATTAATTAAAATATGACAAAGAAATTAACTTGTAATTGTCTTAATCCATAGCAAAATTATAATCTTTTTAAAAGCTTTTAAACGTTGAATGCCCAATAGATGCCGCCACGATCACCGTTCCCCTTTTTAATTTAACCAGCCCTAAGAATAATAGTGCCTAAACTTTTTATTATTATAATTGAATGCATTATACATTCGCTTAAGTAGATTAAAGACATTTTAGATTTTTTTTGAAAACATGTTATGTATTATTCAGCTTTAATTTTGTCATTAAGATTTGGCATATTTCTATTTCTAGTTTTATACGCCGGCACCTTCTCAACTGATCACTGTTGATGGAATAACGGACAACATTAACCAGAACACGCATACTCAGGTATGACGAAAAGTCGTGAAAACATCAACATGGAAGAAGATCAATGTTACCATGAAGACAATAAAGAAGTTTGACAACTCAAGTCACTTAACAATATCATTATACAATTAAGTAAACTAAGCTTCCCTTGAGCTCGATATAATAGGTAGTAAATAGCAATACAGTGAATATTTTTATTTACTTTTTGCAATTCAGCATTAGAGAGTCGAAGAAAACAAATTCTAGAGAAACGAAGTAATAAAGTCATCAATAAAAATAAAAACAAAACAGGTTAGTTTTAGAGAAAAAAATACACAAGTTTCAAGTTTGTGTTTCCCCCTTTAAACAATGACGAAAGTACGCTTTTCCCATTAAAAAAATTAGGAATTATTTTTGATTATTTATCAGTTTCGCTTGTTGTGTCCTGCTTTAATTCTCTTTACAAAAGTCGTGAATGCTATAATCTAACTTAGTATTTATTCTTGAGTTATTATTCAGTGAATGAATTGCAAATATTCTGTACCACAAGGTCACTGTTTGACTTTGGTGATCGCATATCATTGATTAGGTGCCAAAATACAGTTCGTAGTAAATAACACAAATATAATATTTAGAAATAAATATTTTTTCTTGCTCCAAAACAATGATAGTTTTGTGAAGTTTTAAGCTTATGTGTTATATTGGCACAGTTATGAAGTCAATTAGTTGTAGTTCGAATTGATAAGTTTGTAATAAGAAAAACAAAACAGAAAACAACTAAAACTCTAAACAAGAAAATATTTTATATGATCTGGAGTACTAATGTATATCCAGTAAAAATATGAAGAGATAAGTGAACCAAAAATGTTTACATTTTACTCGACCACCTAGTTGTAAATTATTATTTACTTTTGTTTATTTTGCACGATATTATATATCCATATATATTAGAGACAATCCTAATTTTATTTAGAAAAAACAAAACAGACAAAATATTTTATCTAAAAGTGTATGCTTTCAATCATTGTGAAAATTGAAAGGAATCGTATCCAGAAATTTATCTTAAGGTACACATTAAGTAATAGTTGTTCTAAACATCAATCCCTATGTATGCTATTTTGTGTCACAACATAAATATTTAAATCACTATTCGCTTATACACTTTTCATTTCTAGAAAAACCTTTCAAGAGACACAGTTTTTTGCTATACATTAGGTTTATCAAATCAGGTACCAGTTATACTTGCAGGGATATTGTAGACGTTAAAATATTATTATGATAATTGATTACAAATGTAACGATTAAAAATAAATAAAAAGGAAAGGATTAAAATTATTTTATTTACAAAGTGTGAAAAATATAGGAGTTAAATACCTTATTCAATTCTATTTATGATATTTTTCATACTTATCTTTTGAAATTGTATTATACAATGATATAGTGTAAAATGATAGATTTGAAAATCCAAATTGATCATTAAAATTACGAGTTGTTGCTTGTAAATAAACATAGTCATTCCTATAGTATTCATGAAGCTGCTATACCATGAATGAGGAAAGTATTCTTGGGGAATTTTAACAACTATGCTTTCAACTTATATTCTTCTGAAAGCTGACAATTACATAATTAGACATTGTTTTAAACTTAAAGTTTACAGAATTATCAGGAATTTCAGAGTTTACTGTAACAAGTACGTTTGTAGAATAGCGATTTTGTTCTCCGTATCTATTAAACTGAATAAAATATATCAATCTTTAATGAATTTTGCTTTTGTATTATCTTTTTACGTGTTCTTTTTCTGTATAATTACAATTGTTTCTACGTCCTAGTGTTATCATTTGGCAAATACATGTGATTTGCACTGGATTATCTCACATATTTACATTAGGTTAATACTCCCCAAATAGATGGTGTTTACTTTTATAACTACTTTGAATTTAATTAGATAATGTTGTGCTTAAAAATCTTTTTGAAGTTAAGGCCCCACCGTTTACTAAATCAACAATAATCACCAAACATCGTCTCTATAAAAAAACAAAACAAGGATCTATTGCACAAAACCTGTCTCGTCACATTTATGGAAGAAAATTGAGTTTTATAAGTAAAAGAAACCAGTTATCTGGTGACTAAACGTTGGTTATAAGATTTGTTTCAAGAAATATTTTACATTTCAGAAGTTAAAATTAGTTAAATTAAGTGCATTAGACGATAAGAAGGGCTTTGTTAGAAAGAGGGCGGTGAGTCATTCTTCAGGAAAGATCAACATTAAGCACTTATAATTTTTACCTGTTATTCATCCGGTCACTATCTTGTAATTTAAGAAATTCGCCAAAATATTTACTATTCACTTGCGTATAAGAAACACATTTTTTTTTTTACATAACTGCAAAATAATGAAGTAAGTTAGAAACATGGTAAAAAAACAAATGTAAAACGCAGCTGTAATATGAGATAAATTAAGCCTATCATTTTCTCCGACATGTTACTCAGACTACGTCGTGAATTGTTTGACCACATATGATACTTAAGTCCAGAAAGCTTGCACAGAAAACTACCAACATATTATTCTTAACACCTTAAAGCCCAGTTTTGCTTCTAGTAAGAGCTTATTTAAAAAAAACAAAAAATTATTATTTGGCATCAGGACTGTCAAAAAAATAACAGAAACGCGAGATATAGGAAATAAATAAATTATGTGCTAAAATCGAACATTTAAGGAAAGAAAATAATCTCCTGTGTTCTTCTTATTTTGTTGCTTGTGTCAACTAAATTGTTAATGGTTTGTTAAAATGACCCTTAAGTGATTGTAATGAATAACATATTCACTACGAATAATGGGATTGACCGTCACATAATAACGCCCCGATGGTTGAAAGGGCGAGCATGTTTAGTGTGACGGGGATTCGAATCCGCGACCCTCAGATTGCGAGTCGAGCGCCCTAACCGCCTGGCCATGCCGGGCGTGATAGAAAGAACGTTATGGAAAATATTCATTAAATATGCATTAAACTTTGTCGAAAACTGACTTGCTCTAACTATTACGATTATTTGACTTTTGACATTCTTCAGATAATTCGATTTACAAATGGCTATAAGCATCAAATATCGAATTATATTTATCTAGTTTTCTTTTGTAAATGTTGTATTTCAAAATAATATTTTCAGATTTGATGTTATTACTCCTCTACAGCAGTGGTTCCTAAACGTTTTTCACTGACGACACTCTAACCCACTTACCTTGATTTGCGTGACACCCCTGTTGCCAAATGCTATATTATTTGTAGTGTTTTTGCATTTCTTAATAATTTTTCGTTTGGTGAAACTTTCAACTTGCCGCGACACACAGTTTTAGAAAACAATACTCTACAGTATCTACTGCGGAAATTAAACACGATTAAAGTGCTGTTAATAACATTTATTTTATTTTCTATTTACTTGAATAATTGATATTTTAAGGAAATTCAACAAACTGTGAATGAATGATCATGGGTTGTGTTGAAACTACTTAAAATAATTATTTTGTTTTGTTATTAAGCGCAAAGCTGTACAAAATTGTATCCCCACAGTGCCCACTGCAAGTAGTGTAATATGTTCGAGGTATGCTTATTCTAAAAGCATTGATAGTGTAATATAAACATTTATAAATCAAAATATTCCATATCCTCATCCTTTTTTTACTGATAAAGGAATTGTGTTATGATGCAATTCCATAGGAGATACATTTTTAGTTTACACATTTCAAATCTTTTGTCATTGTAAACATTTTTATGGCTCCTGTTAATATAGATCTGGGAGTTTATTTTTTATGACGTAAGATGTCGTTTAATGTTCATGCTTTTTTGTTTTGCTTGATGAAAGCAAATGGTTTCTAAACGAAATGGCAAACATAGGTGATATCTTCTAGTACAAATACAATTAATGGGGTTTTATAACAAAACCATCAATTGAAAAAACATTCGTGAATTATTGTTGTCGTTACATGAAGTTAAGTAATTTAATGAATAATTCAAATGACAAAATATGTTAACTATACTTTCAAAGCTAAATAATTTCTAAAAATTAAAATCGTCTTTCAGATACGCTAAATTGAAAAAAAAAAGAAAGTTAAACATAAAGAAAAATATTTTCAATTATATTTTCACCACATACAAAGTCACATCTTGTCAGTCTTTTTACAAGTCACTGGTTGCTAAGCTCTCTGGCTTGAAGCTGTGTTGTAATTAGTCATGTATATTTTAATGATGCGACTATATTAATTTGAGAAAAATATCGTAAACAATTCAAAAATATCAGTTAATAAAATAATTTACAATAAGTTATACCATTACTTACTCAAAGATCAACTGCTTATTAAAAAGTACTAATGGGTTTTTAACCCTTCGTTGAAAGTTTTATTTTTTCCTTAGATTTTTAAGAAAATCGGTTTTACTTACATTTATTCATTGGTTGATTATTCAAAATGTTCAACCTAAACAGAAAAAAATAATTACTACCCGTTTGTTTCCAACTGTTATAGGCTTGCACTGGTCTTAGAATGTGTATAGTTAGCTTCCGCTAGGGAACCCGAAGAGAAACAAAACAACAACGTATTATAATATTTAAACTTGCTCTCACAGATGCATTGTATAGATCTGAGAATTTATAAAATCTTATACTGTAGCCGAACATGATGATTAATTCATTTAGTTCCTTTTAAAATACTGAATACATATATAAACGTTACTTTTCAATATAGAAAGCTTCTCAAAACCTAGTAATTTACACAAACCTTAATTGACAGTTTTAGAATCATTCCTAGCACGACCTGTGTTTGTTTTAATAAGTGTTTTATTATCGAGAAAAGTGTAAGCTGGTAAGGTGGATTAGGAGTCCGATTCGTCCGAAATATTGTAGTTTGTCTTAATATGTTAATTTTCAATCAAAAATAACTTGTTTCACAGACAGGTTCCAATTTTATGTTTGACCTAAACACAGCTATAAATAACAAACAAATTAACAAACGGAATATATTTAATCATAAAATGTGAAAGTAAGGAAAACATCGACTTTACTTAATAAAAATATTGAACTTTTGTAAAGAATCATGTTCCGTTAAGAAATCTTATCTAGAACTTTTGTCAATTATACTGTAATTTATCCTTTTTTATTGCCCCCCCCCAAAAAAAGGCTCAGCATTAAATCTGAGAACTCATACCGTTAAAAACCGAGTTTCGATACTCGTTGTGGACACAGTACAGACAGCCAGCCCATTCTGTAGTATTGCGCTTAACTACAAACCAATAAACCCTTTTTACTATCTCCCTCCCTTGTGGCTCAGAGGAAAATCTGAAGGATTATAACGCTAAAAATCATGGTTTAATAGCAGCGGTTGGTATAGTACATGTACCCTATTGTGTAGCTTTACACTTAACAACTAACAAAACAATTTTTTTTGTTATTATTGACGAGTGTGATGCAAGTTGAAAGTCATTGATGACTTCAAAGAACATAAACTACCTAATTTGTACTATTTATTCCTTGATAAAAAGAAATATAATTATCATGAATTTTATTGTGCTTCATTGTTTTTTTCTTATAGGCTTATAATGTCTTCATTGTTATAGAACCCACTATCAAATGTAAAATAGACATAGATACTTTCAATTTATGTATTTCGTACTGTACGTATATATTAGGTCATCAAGAAATTAATGTCGCTTTTTTAGATGAAAAACCTGAACAGTTTATATATCAAAACATTTATTAAATGAAATAGTTTCCATTCTTATCGATGATGCTTTTTCATCTTACAAACAGGTTGTTAATGTCTTGATCAAAGAAATCACTTGGCTTTGAAGCAAAAACATGTCGAAGTCCTCTTCAACACCTTCCACATTTG